GCTGGGGGATTGAACCGCGGTCCCTGTGCTTTGCCAAGCTTGTTCTAAGTAGGTGCTTTAGACCACTGAGCCATCTCACCAGCCCCACTAATAGTGTTTAGAAAAGATATCATGTCTGCATCTTGTACTCTGAATAACTACTATGAAGACAATATGCAATGTATTAATTATCGTCACTGTCCTACTAACCTGTTTTGAAACTGTCTCATTGCTATTTTTTCCTCAATAAAATTAATTTTAAATAAATAAAAATAAAAATAAAATCATAATATGCCTCAGAAACAGCACTTGGCAGGATATCATAGAAACAATGCAGGCAAAATCCTTATCAGGTCATCAATGACCCCTGCCCTGGAGACAGGTAAGATCAGTCACCAAAGAGGCAACATCCCTGAGCCCCATTTGGAGAAAGAAAGGGTGTGACAAGCTTCCCTCAACACACAGTGCTTGGTACAATGTCCACATGGCCTTGTGTCAGCTAGTGGCCCTTCAAGAACTTCCCCCAACCTCTCCAGTCTCACTGAAATGCAACAGGCCAACGTAACTACTCCCTGGAACACAGCAGTGTCCACATGCAGCTGAGTGCCACAGCATGTGCCCTGTGATCACACACTCCTGGCTGCTCCATGACCTACAATCAGTCTTGTGTAGACACACTGTGGCTGAAGGAACAGCTGTATGAAGTCCCTTGGCTCTTCCTGGAACATACAGCACAATTCCTTTCTGCATGGCTCCTGCTACAGCCAGACATGAAAAGATTCCCACGCTCCTTCAAAGGATACTGACTCACAGGTCCCAGGTAGGCAGCAGAGAGGAGACAGGGGGCCAGGACACTGAGCCTGTTCTTCGGTAGGTTGAGCACAGGGTACTGCCTGGGGGTGAGGTAAAGCCTTATTCAATCCTGTGCCCACACACTGTTTTATCATTGGCCTCATCCATGCCTGGCACATCACTCTGTTCTTGGCACAAACCAAGAAGAAGACCAGGTCTCAGCCACTGCAAAAGCACAGAGGCCAGAAATGTCTGTGCTGAGAGGAGAGGTCATAGGTCAATAGCTTCACAGGCCCTGGGTGCCATCAAGGATGACACAGTAAGGACCAGAAGAAAGCAGCTCCAAGAGCCCAGCTCCAGCTGCCTGGGATCAAAGCCAGTGTCATGTCCAGGGGCCTCTTTTGTAAAACTCTGTGCCTAAGTCCAGCTCTACTGACTCAGTCCATCCCAACTGGCCTATGTAGCTCCTGAACAGAGTACCTAGAGGAGTGATGTATTTCACATACCACATCTCTATACAGATGTCTCACATCCATTTCCCACATATTCGCAGGGACACTGACCCCACATTTACTTTGTATGCGTCTTTCTAGGTACCAATCAATAAGCTTACCTCCCACAAGCCCCCATGGACACTGGCCCCACATCCGCCTCCATGTATCTATACATCACAGGCATCCCACAAGAACACTAATCCGATGTCTAATTCATACATATCTACTTGGGTATCAACTACCATGTCTACCTCCCATATGTCCACACGGATATCTCATATCCACTTCCTACAGGCTCACAGAACAGCAACCCCATGTGCACATGCTTCTCCAATACACCCACCTATGGTCCACAGAATTCTCCCACCTTGTGGCCCCACAAGCTCCATAACCTAGAGGCCATCGCTAGAGTATGTCCCATTGCAACCCATAAAAACTTCCTAGTACTGGCTGTATGGTCCCAAGCAGGAGCAGGAGGGTACATCTCAGAACCATCCCCTCCCTCTATCTTCAAGCAGCTCACCTGTGACTTCTGCCTCCATCTCTCCATCTGCCACAACTCAAGCTGTGGCAATGTGGCCTCAAATGGGGACACGCCTCTCCAAGCAGAAGCACTGTGTTACTCCCCAAAGAGAAGGCCACACTCATTTGGTTGAGTGCAGCCAGCAGCCTCTATTAAGTCCTAAAGACATGATCAACTTGCTCTGAGTTAACTTCAGGAGGAGGCTAGCTCAGCCTCTCAGCTGCTGGAGTCCCTGTGGTATCCTGAAGAGATTAGCACCGACATGGAGTCAAAGGACAGCCAGACCGTAGTGGTCCCAACTCTACATACCAGACCTGCCCCACGTTGACCAGGGATAGGTAGAGGACCCACAGCATGGCCATGAGGATCATGTTGGCACAGCCACTTATCAAGATGAAGGAGGAAATGCCCAATCCGAGAATAGCAATGAGGTCCAGGTTGAAGTTCATGTCTGACCAGTCCAGTAGCCAGAGGATGGTTGGGGCGTAGCTCCAGGCATCCCAGCCAATCCTGCCATGGAAGTACTGCTGGATGCTCTTCAGGTATGCCTTGCAGGGCAGCAGGCCCCGTTCACCAATCAGCTGCTTGTTCTGATGGAAAGCCACCAGGAATGCCACAACTGGAAGAGAGACAAGCACAGGGGGTGAGAGTAGGAAGAATTCCATGGGCAGCAGAGGGCCAGGCTGGGGAGGGGAGGGGAGGGTGAGCATCCAAGTTACATCATAAAGAGTTTTATATTCCCAAAGCTCTGAGGGACACAGAAAGTCCAGCCCAGAGAAGACACTGTATAAGGATATGTGGTGTCTACTTCCACATGTTGCAGGTCAGACATGGCTCTGTGTAAGATATACCTAGTCAAGTATGCCTATACTAGTATGCCTAGTCCCAGCTGCCAGGAGGCTGATGCAGGACAATCATGAGTGTGAGCCCAACTGGGCTCACACCTCATCTAAAAAAGATTAAAAATAAAAACAAGGCAGTGGTGCAGGTGAGATAGCTCAGCAGACTAAGTGCCTGCTTAGGCAAGTGCAGGATAGGGTTTGATTCCCAGCATCACACACTGCACGGAACCTGTCCCCAGGTGCGCTAAGCCAGCCACCAAGACCAGTTGTGGTGGTGCATGCCTGTAATCCCAGTGCTGGGGAGGCTGCAAACAGGAGGATCACTATAAGTCTAAGCTGTGTAGTAAGACCCTGTACCAAATACACACACACACACACACACACCAAACAACAACAACAAAAACCAACCAACCAAGACTGTGGTAACATGTAAACAGGCTTCCTAGGTGGCACTCAAGTCTTCACTCCAGTTCTCATCAAAGTTGCTGCACCACAGGGCCAGAGAACAGAGCTGCTGTTAACATGCAAGTCATGGCTACCCAGACTTCAAGCACGAGACTCTGAGGACACTCTCAGCAACCATACCTCCAAGAACACACAATAGCCTCAGAATGCCCACAATACATGTCTTTGATGATAAAGATCACACTCCATCCAGGGAGTGGACACAGAGGACCACGTGCCCAGGGAGAAGACAGAGAGGACCAGCACCCAGGAAGGGAGGAAGAAATAAAACACATCAGCACCAACTGCTGCATAAAGGTATAAAAATAGACTCCTAATTCTAATCAGGAATGTAATTATTTTACTTTTTAAATGATCCACAACTGTTTTTAAGAAATCACACAAATATAAATCACTGATTTGAATGAAATGCATAAATTTTTGGCAAAGCTTTGTAGTTATTAAAAACAAAAAAAAATACTATAGAATGCACAAAATTAATGTTTATTCCACCCTTGTGTCATATTCCTGGATCCTTTCTCAATGTTACAGGGGAAAAAAAAAGCAAAACAAATGAAAAATTGAAATCAGAATCACTAACGTTATCAAGTTGGATAAATAAATTAAAATGTAGCAGCCATTAGCAAGAGTGAAAAGATAATGGTGTAAAAAGAAACAAAGAAAATTGCTAGAAAATGATATATATCATACTCTTTTAAACCAGCAAAATATGCTCCTGCATACGAGGTAACACAATTTTTTTCCCTTTAAGATACAGAAATACAATCTCTAAAATATGTTTGCAAAGATAATTTTACTAAGCTTCTACAAATGGACCAGGATTTATGGTTTCTGGGGATGATGTGCACTGTAATTCTGTATAGAACTCTGGATAGAGGTTACTCTAGCAAAAATTAAAAAAAAAAAAACCAAACCACACACTAGGAGGCCATAGACATAGCTCAGTGGAATAAATGTTTGCCTGACAAGCACAAGGTCCTGAGTTCAATCCCTGGTACCACAAAAAAACAAACAAACAAACAACAACAACAACAAAACACGTACAAAAGTACAAGTCAAAGGTGAATGAGACTTCTCTTATATGTTGGCGACATTGAGATGGAAACACGATTAAATGCAGTGCACTCTGCTTTTGAAGAGGCTTTAGTTCAGCTTCTAAATTTCGATTGCTTGATGTAGTCCTCTGTGAGAACACTCAGAAGCTGTCTTCTTAAACAACAAACTTACTTGCAGTGATGAAGCCCCCCTTAGTAGCTGTGTCAGCATGGTACTGACAACCAACCACTGTCTTTGGAGGAAGTCCTAACCTTTCCTTGTTTGTCACAGGTCCCAGGAAGGCCAATGGGATAGTGCCACACCTCTTACGACATCCAAAGTCCCAAACGTCTGACAACACCAAATGCCCCAGGGGAGTCTGAGCTTCAGGAATTCATTGCTGGAGGGAACATGAAAGGGCACAATCACTGTGAGTGAGGATCTTCAGCATCTTATACAGCTGGCCAAGGTTTGTGGGCCTGTGAGCCTGCAATGGTCCTCTCAGATCCTCACCCACTGTGGAGTGTACTGATTCAGCAGTGACATTTTGCTAAGTGAGAACACAGGTCCCAGAGGCTGTACTCTGTAAGCTCTCACTCACATGACACCTGGGAAGATAGGACATGGGGACAGACCAGCACAGGGGGCCAGGGGTGTCAGCCACTGGGCAAGGAGTTTTAATGTCACATGCTGATCATGTTCACAGAACTATGCAGCACACAAATATAAACTTTAATGTCTGCTAACCATCAAAAAGACAAAAACAAAAACAAAAAACCAAAACCAAAAAAAAAAAAACCCCAAGGGCCAGCCACATAGCTCAATGGATTAAAGTGCCTGCTTAGGCAGACACAGGGACTGGGGTTCAAATATAGTCCCAGTTCTTGGGGCGCTGAAAACAGGAGGATCACTATGAGTCTGATCTGTGTAGTGAGACCCTATAGACCCTGTACTAAATACATTTTAAAAAAGAAAGCCAGCCAACTAGGATATCAGGGGACAAGGAACAGATATGGACAGTGACGAGTGAGCTAACTCACTAGAATGTATGATGCAGCCTCACTGCAAGGAGGTGGGCTGGGGGCTAGAAGGACAAGATGGAAGGAACTGCACCATAAGCACTTGCTCTGCTCTCTCTGGGGTTTGGGGAACAGGCTGGCACTGTTCTTTTCATGAAGGGCCGAGGATATGCAGCAGGTCTCAGCAGGTCTATGCAGAAGGCAGACTCGGTAGCTGTACCAAGCCACAGTTTAGACTGCAGAGAGACTTGGCTTCCACAGTACATCCACTGAGAGACACATAATCAAGCCCACAGGCACGTGATGGGCTGGCTACACACAAATCCACCTCTAACCCCCCTCCCCGGAGAAGGGCCAAGGCAAATCAAGGATTTCAACACCATTCTCCATACAGAGAAATCAGGACTCTCCAGAGGAGAGGAAATTCCAGCCTGGGGCAGGAGTCAAGTCTGCCTACCATGTGTGCCAGAAGCCCAAAAGGCACCTAGTGAAGGATGGAAATGTGAGGCATAGCTGAGCAGCTCCCAGCACCAGAATGGGAACAGCTCAGGAGCAGAACAGCAAGGACCTCACTCAAAAGTGTACATGCCTGTGCAGGAGTTCTCAGTGACACAGACAGGTAGTCAGTAAGTAGATGGAGAAGACACAGTCTTCAGAGGAATTCCAGTAAGTATCTGTAGATACCCCTTCATGATGTGGCTGGGTTCCCTCTCCCCCTAGGGGCTGGATTTAGGGGTTGGTTTCCCAAACACAGTGGGTAGGATATTATGACTGCAGAGAGGACATCTGGAAGACGCAGCTTAACCAGGTGACCTGTGAGTCCTGTGGGTGTCAGGTAAAGTGTGATGACAAGAAGGCCCCTCACTGAAGTAGGGCCTTCAAACTCACTGCCCCACCTAGCCATATGACAAAATCTGACTGAAGCAATTCAAGCAGTGTTCTATAGAACATGTGGCCAGGGCCGGTGCCAAGATCACAAAGGAGAACAGTCTTGGAGACCCACAAACCAGGGGACATAGCAGACATGAACCTGACACTGCAGGGATCCTGATGGGGCCTGGAGCTTTGTAGAAAATCTAGTGTGCAGATCAGTTAATAGTAACAAAAATGGGTATTTCTTGAAATTTCCCTACATGTCCCTTGGTGTACTGCAAGAAGATGGCTGAGGCTGGCTCTGGCAGCAGGAGGCCAGCTATCAGGAGTGGTCTAGGCCTCAGGGACAAGAGGGGACACTGAAAGCGCCAACCTCCTGCCCCCATGTTAGGCAAGAGAAAACCCCACAGCCCAGTGCTGTACACAGATGGGCAGTGTCGGCTTCCTCTGAAGGAACACAGTCCAGGGCCCTGTGTGTGAGTGTGTGTGTGTGTGTGCGTGCATGTGTGCACACATGCACACGCACACACGCATGGCCTCACTGTGCACACCAGGCTGCCCAAAGGTCAAGTGAAGCACAACCTGGTGTGCAGCTTCATCCCCCAGGGTAGGGGGTAGGGCAATATCCACAAAGGACCTAACAGAAATTGCTAGAGTGTTGGAGTTCTCCTCTCTTACATCATCCAGACCAATGCACAGGAGAAAAACATGGCTTAGTATCATCCATTTAATAGTTTAAGAAAATAACTCCAGGGGCTGGGGGATGGCTCAGTAGAATAAGCGCTTCCTTGGCAAGCTCAAGGGCCTGAGTTCAATCCCCAGTTCCACCAAAAGAAAAAAAAAAGGAAATAACTTCAGGACAAGCAGCCCAATAACCTCTCTACCTGTCAAGAAAAGTAAAGACAGATTGGGCTTAGAGTTCAGGGAAGATAACCTGTTTCACTGTCAACTTATGATATAGAAATAACCAAGTAGAAAGAAGAAACAAACATTTCAAGGCATTTCAGGACCTAACAGCAAATCCAAGCAACCAGCCTTAGGCAGTTCCTCCAGTGAACAAAGGCAGAGCAGGGAGGCTATCTCAGCCTCTCCCGGGAGCCTAGACAGAACATGTCAAGTCCCTACAGGAGGACCATGCACCTCTACACTGGGGCTCAGACGCAGCTCCATGGCAGAGCACACTTAGCATGCAGAAGGCCCTGGGTTTCATTTCCAGTACAAAGGGGCAAGAGGTTCCCCTTTTCATATAAACTACCATAAAATTAGAACAGAATTGTTCTAGAAATGCCAGCCCTGTCAGAGTATGGTCACATTCCAGATCTGAGCACAATAAATTCAAACATCTTTTTAAAAACTTGCATGCTTCAGTACACACCCACCATCTA